TTCAAGCCAACATGAAGGAATGCTTGCATGTTAGTGCTAAATCTGTGTATGGTGGTGAACAATAAATTTCTTCAATATTTCGAATGTAAAAAAAATCCAAATCGGATCTTCAGTTTCATTTTTAATTCATATTATATCTGCTTTTCTTTGAAGCTGCATATAGAAGCCAGAAAGTCCCGCCGCGACGCACGCGGCATCATCTAGTTACCAAGTGAATTGCAGGAAACCACCACATTAGCGTCTAGGTTTGCAGAAAAAACTGATTTGTGATTTTTTGTCAGAAACAACTGATTCTTGACCTAATCTTTTGCAAAAAACACTAGTTAGAAAGCTTTGGCCTACTTGATAACGATTATGACAGATGGAGCCCACCGAAGCCCACATTTTGCTGACATGGCAGACCGGTTAACAATAAACGATGTTAGATGGGGTCTTTTTGCCAAAACCCCCTCCTCTCGGCCTTGAAAAAAATATCCCTTGAAAAAAGTCATTCACCCACTCCCATCCCCGTCCAAATGTCGGCCGATCCCGAGCCGCGTGACCCCGCCCCCCACATCGGCCGATCCCAAGCCGCGTGACCCTGACGCCCACACCGGCCGCCCCCAAGCCACTACGAACCCACCCACGGTGCTCTCCTGAGGAGCAAGCATGGGAGGCCGTCCCAAGCCGCACGGCGATGCCCCCATGTATCCCAGCCACGCTGCCCCTTCTTCCTCCTCTCTTTCCCCAGCCGGCGGCGCGGCCCTGGAGAAAGCAGCAGCGGCAGCGCACAGCCCCGGAGAAAGCAGCATCGTGGACCCGCGTTGCAAGGGCACAAGCAGCGGCGCGACGCCGCACATCGCAGGCACAAGCAACAACGTCGGCGCGCAGCACGGGCACATCACCGGAGCAAGCAGCGACAGTGAGCTCCGTCGCCACCGGTGCGTGGCATGGGCGGTAGCGTGCGGTGGCCGGCGACAGAGTACGCCGAACTGGGCATGGAAAGGGCTTGATTACACTTTCTTTTTTTAATTGAAGGGTGCCTATCTTTTCTAACGCCCTTTGGGATCAACAGTTACACAACATCAGCTTTTGTGGGACCCACATGTCATAATCAAGGTTAAAATGCCCAAAGAGGCCGATATGTGTTTTCTGCAAAAGATTAGCCTGAGAATTAGTGGTTTCTGGCAAAAGTTCATAAACCAGTGTTTTCTGCAAACCTAGGCATCAATCTGGTTGTTTTTTGCAATTCTTTCTCTAGTTACCTAAAGAAGCTGAGTTCAGGGACACAGGAGAGGACTGGCTGCAAATGTTGTTGCTATCCAAGCTCCAGGTCATCCGTAACAAAATCATGTTGATTCTTTGGCAGTCATGGAGCT